TTCAGCAGAACTTGGAAGGAAAGAGGGTGAGGGGATTTTCTTATTTATTGACTGGCTGGCTGACGGGTCCTTTCTCTTAAACTCCTTCCACCTCAGCATTGCCAATTCCTTTTATTTTCTCCTATAGTGTCTGTATTCTAAAGAAGCAAGCTAGATTCAGATGAGTTAATTGTGCATATGATTTTAATAATGCAGCTAACGTTAATTTAGTCTCAGAACTGAGACTAAAACAACTGATTTTCTCTCTTTTCTTTTTAGAAAAGAATTCATTTTGTAAAGGTCTATTAGAAGCAACTCAGTGTAAGAACATCTTAAATGGGCTAGGAAGAGCTTTCTAGATTCCGGATCAGTGTAAGTTAGTCTAAGCAGAGAAATTCATATGTATCGATTCTCCTCTGATGGTTAAGTTTGGAACGGCATCAGTGTGCCACTTAAGAACATGAATCTTTTAACAAATGCTGGCAATTTGGCCTCACCCCCTCTCCCTCTTTTACCTTCTGGTTAAATAGGATTTTTTAAAAAATAGACAATTTATAAGGAAAAAAATATAAACACTCTTTAAGCAATTTGGCTATAAGCATTAGAACACTGAAAAACTCCACAAGAAATAGTAAAATATTTTGAAGAGACATGCACTTCTTCACTATTTATAGCGTGAGCTGATACTGATCTTTGTTTTGGTATTGAATTTTATTTGTAGATTTATTGCTTCTGCATCTTCTTGTCTTTCTTTAGAGCTATAAAACAGAGGTGCTGTCTCTAATCATGGTACAAGGCAACATTGTATTTTTGAGACCTAGGAATGACATAGATAGGGCCACACTTATGTCAGTGGCTTCTGAGAGTCTATGGCTAGGACAGCAGTCAAGCCTGTGCCAGGATTCATGAAAGAAGTTTCCTGGCTTTTTCAGGACACTTTGGTTTGGAGAATGAGAGAAAATTCTTAAGTGTAGCTTAGCTGCTGCCTCACATCTTTTGCATAATATAACATTTTGATTTTTTTTTTTTAAAAAGCATGCTATGTATGAATAAGGAATTAAGAATATAAACCATATAGTGTACTGGCTCTTTTCCTTGGCATTCTTGTAGCAGGCTTCATCTAGGCTGATGTGGAGAAACAAGGCATAGGAGGCTACTAACGAATGCCATGTAAATTTTCCTGGTGCAAATATTTGTAAAGTATTTTAAATGTTGCAGCTCAGAGCCTTCAGAGAGTGGATGAGGGTGTTGAAAAAGGGAGAGGGGAAAGGTGAGAAAGAGAACAAGATACACAGAAAGGGATCATCAAAGCTAAAGTGCAATTTTAAAATATAAATTATTTGAAAAGCAGAAAGGAGTTTTCTAGGTTGCTACTATTCCTATAGGTAGGCATGGTTTTATTCAAATTTAAATGCGTAGTTTCTTTTCCCTTCTCAAATACGCTGCATAATAGGGTTTGAATGGCTTAAAGCTACTGCGCATTGTTGAGGAAGGGGCAAAAAGAATAGTAAAGAAGCTGAATAAGCACAGGGCAGTGTAGGAAGCTGGGTGGGCAAAAGCAGAGATGAAGCTGTTTTTACACTTTTACAAGGAAGCTGTTCCAGTTATAATTACTGATTCCCTTTAACTGAGCTGTACTTCCTAAATAAAAAGGCTGACTTTAAAAGTGAAAAAAGAAAAAAAAATTTAAAAACCCTTCAATATGTTAACAAAACAAAAAACCCCAAGAAAATCAAAACCAATTCAGAGAGCAACAGAAATCCTGGCAATTTCTATGCATAGAGATCTAAGCAAACATTTCCACCAAATGATGGAGAGTAAAGATTTGAAAAATTAAGATATACATAAGTTGAGCAGTTTATTATGTACTAATACTTTTAAAAACAAGTAGCTCCTACAGAATAGTGTTCAAATGGAATGTTTAAAAATAACATTTATTAATAAATATCTTATAAAATTCTAAATTAATAGATTCCTGTTCAAATTTTGCTTTGGTCCTTGAATTCCACTGTATACATACATACATACATACATATATATATATATATTTATATATTTTAGGTGGGTTTTTTTTTAATTAAATCAGCACATTCTATCCTAACTGGATGGCTAGTTTTATAGCACATATGGATGCTTAAAACTCCCCAGTCAAAGGTGGGTCTTTTACTGCAGCTGGTTGATGATTTAAATGGCAAGCTCAACTAATACACTAAAATTTCTGTAACAGGCAACAACCACCTGAACATTCACCATGGACACTTCTCCACTCAGAATATGGGCTGAATTTTTTATTTCATCAGCTGAACAGGCTCCCAAGAACATTTGCTCCAAGTAAATCACTCTAATGATTATAAGCCATATCTTGATAGCCTACAGACTACTTGTCTTCATAGGCAGCCTTAAGATTGTAACTTATGGGTCCATATCCCACTCCTGACACCAAAAAAAAAAATATCTATATGTATAAAAAAATTGCATATATTGTGTTGGGGGGTAAAGAGGGGTGAGTAATATAGCAAGACAACAACTGACTTAACACCAGGTTTTTAAATGACTACATACATTCATGGTTAGGATTTCCACTATGCCTGTCCTGACATCATATGTTGAGAAATGCTTTAAGGAGAAACAATTAGGATGGGGATGCTTCTGTTTAAGGATGAGGAGTCATCCAGTGGAAGTGCCATCAGCTAGAGCTAACTAATTTGCTTGTTCCCATCACATATGGGAGAAGTGGCACCAAAACAAGTCCCTAGGATGAAGAGAGGGGCAGGTTTCTGAAAATCATGATTTGTGAAAATACACATAGGTAGCCTGGTAATGGAGCACAACAGAATACTGGCTCATACTGGCCCAGGACGGGGCAGTGTTTTGTTCTGTGATGCACGGGATCACCTTTCTGAAATGGAGCCAATGAACAATAACAGTCCCAGTAACAGGACACAAGAGAAGAACATGGTAGAAAGAGATGACTTTCCAAGTGAACAAAAATTGTAGAGCAAGGAAAAGAGAGTTTCAGCAGATAGGTTATTCTGGGGCCTGGAAAATGCTGGACTGTATGATAAATACTTCATACGATCAGCTGGTTGCTGGGTTAGGCTAATGAGTCTTTCTCTTCAGGATCTTCAGAAGCTCTGACAATAGCTGGCCTCTTTCACTTAATGTTATTTCCACACTGCTAATGAACACACCTATAGGCCCCAAGTATAACAAGCCATTTTATTCTAATTATACGTTTAAGCTGGTTTGCTAACGTGTGTGGTTGGCTTGCCTACTTAGCATAAAAAACAGACATAATTGAGCTATATATAATGCACATCAGTCAAACTGTCAAGTTGCTGAATTAAGAAAACTCAGGCAAGTTCTTAACTGCAGAGGCATTCAGTTTAACAACTAAATATTTTAATCAAGAGGTGGAACAGAAATAAACGAAACCATAATTTCAGCGGTAGGTCGCTCCCTGGACATTCTGATATTATCAGTGGTTAAAAAAAAAATCCAAGTGTTATGCACACAGTAAATAAAGAAAAGTGTTTACTTAAAACTAAGAGTAAAATAAAAATAAAAATTTTTTTAAAGTAAAAATATTTCAATGCACTCTTTATCCATATTTTGGAATATAGATGAACCTAGCGGAGAGTTTGGGGGGGGATGACTTGCAATTTCAAGACTGAGATAAGAAACTTAACTTGTTTTTAAAGCTAAGCCTTAAGCATTCCTTAGGAAGCCATAGTTGAGATAAGCTGTACAGTTTTATTTTTTACTGCTGGGATTTATTTATTTTTTTAAACTATGGATTCAGTATTTAAAATAGTTGAAATTGATATGTTTGCCTAAAATATAATAGAAAATTCTTTTCATTTATAGTTTTTAATGTTTTCTTTCTTTTTTGTTTTGACACTTAGACCATCTAAGCCATGAATTTCATAGGGCACTTCTTTTGCAAGACCTGGTACCATGAAGGGAATAGCAATTAAAAACTTATTTAAACAGTAAATTATTAGATAAATTGAAATGAGCTGTGAAAATTATGCTTCATGGCTCCCATACTTGTTTTGTGCCCCTCCAATATTTGTTGCTATGATGAGAAACAAGCAAACACATCCATCCTTTTTCTGAATTCTTAGAAAACTACATCCTTTGTAAAACACTATCCTCTTAAAACCCATGGACGCACTCACTCACACACACACAGTAGGGATCAAGCATTCATAAGGAGATGAGACACCAGCACCTGTCTACCTGTCTAGACTGCTAGAAGGAAGCCTCAGCTCTTGTTACTAGTGAGATGCAATATTTAACAATAGAGTAGAATGGCTTATTCCAAGGAGGCACAACTGTGGTTGGGGAACTACCTGCTTTTCATGATGGGCAAGTCCACGTAAGTTGTTCAAAAAAGAAATCAGAATCCTTTAGAAGAAAAGAGAAGCCTGTGTCTTGCCCGTGGGATTCTTCCCCCGGCCAAAGGACACCTGGACGCTCACTGGAGGGCTGCAAAAGCAACTGCAAAAAATACTGGGTTTTCTTTCTTTCCCAGTAGTTAAGTCTATGCGCACCCATCAGAAAAGCAGAGCTAGTTCCATAGGCTTAAGAAAACAAAAAGTTAAAAATAAATCTTAGGCTATTAGCAGCTGATGACTGAACAATGTAATTTGTGTCGTGAGTAGAGCCTGTCTGAATTATTATACAGTCCATGGATTCTCAACATTAGAGACAGGCCACATAAAAGCGGTTGTAATTCAACGGCATGGTGTTAGAGTCCCATATTATCACGCCGACATTCAGTCAGGACTTAGAGTGCTTCTTTATCTTGTGTCCCCAAAGCTGGCCTTCAGCAGTGCTTCACCTACAGACACACCACTTTTTATTTGCTCTGATTACTGAAAATATTAAACCAGGCACACTAAACATCTCCTGCTTTCTGTTTTGTAAAAAGCAAGAGATGAATGAGCCCCAGCTGTGTGTCACGGGCTAGTGAAGCAATGGCTAAGTCCACATTTCTGAGACGTCTGCTTTTTTTTTTTCTTTAAACTTTTTTTTTCATTTTTACATAAAAGGCTAAAGGAGGGGAAAAAAGATAGTAGAAATGAAGAGTAAATAGTGAGCCCAAGGGAAAAACTGGAAATAGAGAGGAAAACGGAACAAGGGAGCAAGTGGCCCAAAAGGCTGGTGAGATGCTTGGTGATTTGGGCTGGACATCAATGGATCTTATACATTTTTGTTATAATAAGAGAAAAGGAAATTGTGGGAAAGGCTCTGTGTTTATCTGAGAACTGGTGATGTGACTGCCAAAAACACAACACGTGTTACGATGCCGTTGGTCACTTCCAGTGGGTTCTACCTGAAAATCACGCAGGCCTCGTTTTGGCTAAAAGCTGCAGTTTCACATGATTCACTGTTTCAGGTAAAGAGTGGGACTGTTTAGTATGAAGCCATGACTATGTACAGAAAGGGTTCAATTTATAAACAAGTAACTGGTACCAGAAAATTGGAGAAAAGCACCAAAGCATTTCCCAAGCGGACAGGTATTAATTGCATAACTCCCTTTTTTTTTCTTATATAACTAAGTATAAAAGACATTTCCATAATAACTATTAAAAAAAATGAAAGTCAGTCTTTGAAGGGTTGAGGAGTCTTCCAGGTCGGAGATCATTCTAGAAACGCCCTTAGAAGGTACGCTACAGCTCTTCTAGGAGGCAAGGTCTGAGGCCTTGGGTTTTAAAGAATTGGATTCAGGTCTGTTCTGTGAGTGGTGAGCTGACTGAGGGTGGAGCTTCCTACGACCTCACTGACAGACGAGGAGGTGGTGATGGTGTTATGCTGGATGACTTGTTGCTGGGAGCAAGCCGGGACAGGGCTCGCAGGAGGGCTACTCTCTGGACCTAGGAGAAAACAGACAAACACAGCGATAAACCTCTTTCTTGCGTGGACTTGTGGACTACTAGCAAACCAAACTATTACTAGACATGGGCTTTTCTCCTGAAAGCTAATTTCAACTCTGTTTTAAACTGGAGTCACAAAGCTATGCTTTCCCAGGTTATAGCTATGAGCAAAGCCATGCTTTCTACATCAGCACAACGGGTGGATTGTGAGTCTTGGTATGTGGACTGCCCCATCTTGTACTTTCAAATAGCCATCCATATATCAAATGTGGAAAGATACTCACATGTGGTGGGAGAATCTGTGTTGCTCAATCTAAAAAATTATTTGAAAATAAATTGACCTTCAGTCATGAGCCCCTGCTCTTCCCACCACCCCCTACTGAGCTAGCATTTAATCTGTTGACATTCCAGGTGCTTAAGATAAGATCTATTAGATGCATTGGTGAGCTGAGACCATGCCATATGCTTTTTAGGCCAGTGATTGACAGGAAGGCATATTATAGAATTCATCCAGTGCCCATCTCCCAGCCCATGGATTTGTCTGGAAGGCAATTAGACCAATGACAATTAAACTCCATCAAGCTACCTTTCTCTTTGTTGCAAAATTGGAATTGGTAGGATTTTTACCTGAGAAATTCCCACCAGCTTAGAAACTCTCAGGAGGTGGTGAGCATGGTGCTAGATTGGGGTCAGGACAGGGGGAACCCAGTGGTCGAATAGTCAGGTAGACATTCAAGAAACCTAATATGGCTTTGTCTGGGTGGAATCTACATTTCCTTTTTGTTCTCTCAATAGAATCTAGTATAGAATTAGTAAAAAAAATAGACTACTTAAAAAGTACTAGTCAGTGACTTACTTAGATATCCTTGTGATTCTTTCTGCATGGCTGTTATGGGGCAGTCTTTATGTGTTAACAACAACTGTTTCAGCTGTGCCACCTCGTTTTTCAACATGGACACTTCATTCTAGGAAACAAACCAGAAGACCACATTAAGAAGATCAGAGAACACAAACCCAAAGTACCATGGACTTTAAACAACATAATTAGTAAATGTTTCTATTAAATCTGAAAGACATTAATAATATTGATCATAAGGGTCACCTGGAGAAATATAGCTTGCCATCAATTTGGTCCTCTTATGTATCGGGGACTTTCTGAAGAAGATTGGATTTGGGCTTTGATTCAAGAGCTAAACACTCTTACCCTGATTTAGGTAATGCACCTGGACCAGTAACATAACCTAGCTGAGCCCCAACCTCTCCCATTGTTATTGTTGTTGTGTACTACTGAGTTGGAACCGACCCATAGCTGACTCTCCAGTGGGTTTTCACAGGCAATAAACCATACAAGAGAAGACTGCTCATTTTTCTTCCAAGTAGAAGTTGGTGGATCCAAACCACAAACCTTCGTATTGGCAGCTCAATTCCTTACCCTAAGTATCAGCCATCTGTCCACAACTTACTACAAAGTTCCATTCTGAGGGCTCTAATAGAAATAAAAGATCTCATTTTTCTTTTTAATTATTTTTGTCCTTTGTTATGAATTTCTTTATAAATCGCAACATTGGGCATCACAGGTGAACATCACACAATGCAATATTATGTTTAATACATGTTACTAATAATGGGCAGAAACCTCTTAAGTGTGGTTCATCGTAATGCCAGTGTAAGTGGAGGACTACCTGTCCATACATTATGAGTTGTTGTGAAGACTAAGTAAAGTTATAGTTTGTCAACTGTTTAGTATGCAATCAATGTAGCCATCATAATAACCATCTTTGCATGGATGGTTAATCCTTAAATAATAACCATCCATGTCTTACAAATTAACTTTGGCATTAAATATGAGTAGAAGGTGCATGTGAGCTATATTCTGGGAAGAATTATGTGGAGGATATTCAGAATTGAACTGTTCCTCCCCATATATGTACTATTCCCTATACCCATGGATATGACCTTGATTGAAAAGAAGGTTTACTTTTCCATGCTGATGAGACCACATCCCAAGTGAGTGGTTCTAAACCAAGCTGCCTTTGAGTTAGAGAAAGAGCAGAAAAGACAGAGATACACACAGGTGGAAGACAGATGCTAGAAGCACCAAGAACACCTGGAACTAAGACAGGAAGGAATCTTCCTTCCAGAGCCAGACTCTGACTTTGGACCATTAGCCTCAAACAGTGAGAAAATGAAGCCCTGTTCCTTGAAAGCACCTAGTTTTGGTGGTTATTATTATGACATCACTCAACCCCAATCTCACCATGGTGAACTCAGTTCTGCCTCATAGAGACTCTGCACTGGGCCTCCGAGGCTGTAAATCACCAGGTTGCTCGTCTTTCTCCCGTAGAGCAGCTGGTGAACTCAAGCTGCCAGAGGCACTGTCTTTGGGTTTGCAGAGCTACGGCAGCACTAGGCCAGTGGCTTCAAACAGAAAAGCCCTCAGGAAGACAAACAATTGGGTACCTGCCTGCTTAATGCACTAGTAGGTGCCAAAGAAGCACATGATGCCCATGTTAGCGGCATACTGGTGGGATGTGGATAGAGACAATTATGAACCACGAGTGATGCCATTTGATCTGTTTGCTTACCAGTTTAGTTCATTGCAGGCTGAAATATTAGAGTGTTCTGGATTGCCTTTTCTTCCCCCGTTTTCTCCTCATTTACTTAAAAGAGTGACTCAAATCTCCATTTCACATAGTAATTCACAAAGGCATGCCTACGGCTTTGTAAAATAATGTACTTGGCGCCTGGTGTCTAAAAATATAAATGTATAATAAATGACTGGCTCCAAGGTGCTTCCACTTGATAAAAGTAAACTGTAAACACAGCGCTATCTCAAATAAACCACTTTACAATCGTGATAAATAATACCTTCGCTCTGGCCAATGTACATGTGAGGCTGCCAGGCACTAATAGGCCCCATGAAGAGACTTTATAGAACGCATGGTTTGCCGGGAAAGCCAATGTTTTAGCATTGCTATCATTATGGTGTTCAGCATGAACTTGGCTTGTCAGGCACGGTTTGATCACCTAGAAAAGTGAGTTTTGGATTCTAGAAGTTCTCTCTTTTCCCCTTTTTGAAAATTTGTTTTAGAGAGTAACTCTCCTTTCTAAACTAATTTATAAAACTTTGTAAACTATCATATACTGGACAACATTAGTAATAAATTAAGAAAAGTATCATTTTAAATTTGTTTTCTTTTTCCTCCACACTCTAGCAAACATAGTGTCAAGAGTAAGGAAGTCTGTGAGCCAATCCACCTGTCGCTCCATGAGAGAAAGACAGGCAATCTCCTCCTGTGCAATTTGCTGTCTCTGAAAACCTGTTGGAGGGTCAGCTATGAATCAGTTCTGACTCAAAGGCGCATAACAACATCAGAGAAATTAACATTAATGATGAATAAATCACTTAATTATGTAGGAAAATTGTTCTTACACTTGATAGTGTTCATGAAAGACAAATTTCACCTCCAAACCCCATACTGGTAAGAATGATAAAGATTCTTTCAAGGTCTAAAGTGATTCTTTTCAATTCTAGGACTACTGGGGAAAATTTATTTGTAGAAAAATATCTTTTAAATACTACTTCATTCCTCTCTACTTTTATGTTCCTCCAAATCCAGACACCCTTGTTTGCCCAATTCTCCTTCTGTTTAATGCAGCAATGAAGTCTCTTTACGGCAAGGGCTAATTTGATCCAGCAGGCTAAAGGTTGAGCTGCTAACCAAAACTAACCAATAGCCAGCTCAAGCCTACCAGTTGCTCCACAGGAGAAAGATGGGGAGTCAACCTCTCATTAAGTTTATAACCTTGGAAACCTGATGGGTGGTCCCCATGAGCCAGAACCAACTCAGAGGCAGTTGGCTTGCTTTTATTTTGCTCCCCAAAGTGACTAATGCAATGGATAGCACTAAATTACACACGTGAAAAATGTTGGCCTGGTAAGCACTGTGTTATATAGCAAGGCACTGTGGTGGCACAAGTGGCAATGTTTTAAGCAACTAGCTGAAAAGTCAGTGGTTTGAATCCATCAGCCACTGTGGGGAAGAAAGCTAAGAAGTCCTCCTTCCATCAAGATTTACGGCCTAAAAAACTGGATGAGGGGATCACTCTGAGCTACAATTGACTGGAGAGTAGTGGACTGGGCTGGTTTTAGTGTTAGACAGCTTTTTACAATCAAAGTAGAATGTATACAGGAAGATATTTTTAGATATCTAGATTAGAAAGCAATCCTTTTAAACGAATGAATATTAAACAAATGAACAGATTCTAACAAAACAGGAAAAGAAAACACAGGTGCTAATATATAGGTATATATATTTTCCTTCTCATGGAAGGTGTTACTGTTTACATTTGAACGAAAGATATACCACTTCTCAGAGATCGCTGCTGCCAGACACCTGCAGTCAGAGAGATTCAGGTGCAGACAAAACAGACAAACATGGAGTCAAGTCCAAGGTTAAGCGGACCCAGCACACTTTTCTACTGTGACTTAAGTAACAAGAAACAAGGAAAGTATGAAAAGCAAATGACGCAAAATTGGTTTTCTTACACTTGTACAGAGGGAAAAAAACCCAATTCCTTGGTGGCTGTCTTGGGAGCAGCTGACTTCAGCCTCCTGACTTCCTGCCCCCACTGTGTCCTGAGCAGTTCCACCCTTTCAGGCGGGGTCCAGTCTCCCAGACAGTAATTGTTCACTGCCTCTTCCTTAAGAAAACACTGTGAATTCCGCTCTTTGGGTTTCAATGGTTGCAAGGAGCTAAATACTTATGGCACTTGGCACACCCCAAACTCCCTCAAAATAAACCTTTGCTACCATGAGAGGTCACTATCAAACAGTACCAATCACTTCTCTAAGCAGCACAAGTGCTATTCTGACCTGTAACCAATGCCCCATGTGTGAGCTTTGACTTCAGTGACATTTTTGCCCAAGGAGAGTAATGCATTTTGCCAGCAAAGCAATACACTGCATGTATGGAAATGGAAAGCCTAGGAATTGTGAGGATCTGTAATAAGAATGCCTTGACAACTGATCCTTATTTCAAACTACGTATCTATATGCACATCTACTTCTTAAGAGAGTAGGTAGCTCTGGTAGTGTAGTGGTAAGGAAATTATTTTGTCAATCCCATAGTTCCAGGGTTTGAATTCACCAGCTGCTCCTCAGGAGAAAGACGGGTAATCTTCTCCCATGCAATTTATAGCCTTCGAACACCCGCTGGAAGGTCAGCTATGAGTCGGTTCTGACTCTGCAGTTCAAAGCAACACCACCATTGATAGAGAAGTATAAATTAATAGTCACACAGACACACATCTTTCTTATTGTAATGTGCTAATACATTGTTTATGTCACATTGTGCTTAAAAATGGAATGCCAATTAAGATCATTAGTAAAGTGCAGTCTTCTTGTTTACATCATATATTCAGAACTCTGATGCTAATAAGGACCAAATAAACGTCTTAAAGTCACAGGCAGGGTTGTAGTGGTTCACTAGTAGAATTCCTGCCTTCCCTATGACAGCCTTGGTTGGGTACAGTTCCCGGCCAGTGCACGCTGTGGGCAGACACCACACATGTCAGTGGAGGGCTTGTGCTGCTATAATGCTAAACAGGCTGAGAGATTCTGCACTAAAACAAACTAAGAAGAAAGAGCTGGCAGCCTCTACTTCAGAAAACCAATCCATGAAGTCCTCATAGGTCACAATGATCTAATCTACAACTGACCATGGGGCCCAAGCAGTATCATGCTCTGCCGTGTGTAGCCTCACCAGGAATCAGGGACCAACTCAGAGGCAGCTAACAACAGAAACACAGGCACAGTCAAAGAAGTGACAAGAATGGATGAAACAGTGTCCAGCAGGAAATGGAACTCTCAGCTGGCTTTTGATTTCCAAACTACAATACCAGATTAACTAAAACAAGATGGTTGCATTAGTTCTCTAAACTCTTTCCAGGAAGGTGGTTTTTT